GCCAGTTACTAATGCAGTCATTTAGTATTTGGTTATGCAAGTACTAAATGACTACACAGAGATAACTATGTAGTCTACCACTTATATAGACCACAAAATGATGGCGTTCAAGATCCTAAAGGGAGGAAGGAAGGAGAGCAACTGAATAGGAGCACTGGACCTCAGCAAAGCAGACTTTAGCAAATTCAGGGAACTGGCAGGAGGATCTCCTAAGAAGTAAGTCTGAGGGATAAAGGAGTCTAGCAGAATGGTTATACTTTAAGGAGGCCTTTTTAAGAGTGCAGGATCTAGCTAATCTGATGTGATGGAAGAATGGGAAGTGCAGCAGGAGGCAAACCTGACTAGCAGCAATCTCTTCAATAAGCTGAAACTCAAAAAGGAATCCTATGAAAAGTGATAACTTACTCATACGACTAGGGAAGAGTATAAGAGTATCACACAGGCATGCAGGGAGAAAATTAGGAAAGCCAAGGGACATAAAAGGTAATAGAAAAGATTCCACAGTGTGTCAACAGTAAGAGAAAGAGCAGAGAAATCATAGATCCCCTACAGAATGCAGAAGGCAGTCTTGTTATGGACGATGCAAAGAAGGCTGAAGTATTTAATGCCTTTTTTATTTCAGTCTTTACAAACAGGGACAGCTACCAGACAATGAATACAGTTGGCAGCAGAGATAGGGAAGGAGACAAACAACCTAGAGTAATGGCAGAACAGGTTAGGGTTGCAGGTTACTTATCCAAGCTAGATGCTTTCAAGTTGGTGGGGCAGATGGGTGCATCCTAGGGAAATAAAAGAATGGGCGAGGTAATTTCAGAGCCATTAGCTATCCTTTTTGGGATAGCTAATTCCTGGAGGTTAGATAAGGTCCTGAATGACTGGAAAAGGGCAAATACAGTGTCCATTTTTTGGAAAGGGAAGGAAGAAAATCCGAGAAATTATGGACCAGTCAGCCTGACTTTAATATCTGGAAAGATCCTGGAGCAGGCCCTCCAGGTGTCCTTTGTGAAGCAGCTGGAAGATAACAACTTGATCTGTTGCTCTTAATTTTGATCATGGCATGCTGTGAATGGAATGAAATGATCAGTGAAAATGTTCTGGTCTCAAATCCTAATTCATTGAACACTTAAGCAACACCACTACTTGAGCAAAATGACTCAGCTAGCCAGGCATCATCACAGCACTTGGGGTTGCAGTTTTGACCAGCATGGTCTCCTCTTGCTTGGTGACAAGTCCCCAAACTTAAGTTTTTTCCTTAGGCTTTTATACTCTTTTAGAGCCCTCTTCTGTATATTCCATATATGGTCCTGCTAGGGATCCTCACCAATTACCTTTTACAACAGTTATTTCCTCATCAAGCTGTTGCCCTAAGCCTGTTTCTTTTCATCTTACTGCTCACCTACAGAGCCATACTTGGGCTTGTTTTGCTATCTTGTTTTTCTGCATTATACAGCTATCTATGTTTTGTTTTGCCTACAGAGTTTTCTCTGTGCTAGTTACCTCTGTATTCATTTCATTTGCAGCTCATGGTGTTTGTTCAAAAGGAAAACAAAATCTCATCAGTTATGTCAAGGCAGCTTACAGGCCAACTGTCCCCTCCTAGACAGTGGTTCCATTTAGGATACCACTATCATTATTGTCAACAGCCCAGGCATAAGGTGAGACTCCATTCTTCTCAATGCCACCTGTGGAGGGGATGGTATGTGGCAGCTCTCAGTGCTTACCCTGGCCTTGACTGGTGATCTTACCACAAGATATCTGTGGGTGTGTCTACAAGAGCTACTGCACAGTAAGAAGTTTTTACACTAGCATCTACATGTGCAGGCATTACAGCACAGTAACACTGTGTGTAGACTGACTTGGGACTAAAGTTAGTAGTCCCAAGTCAGTCCACAAACACAGGGTTACCACATAGTAAGGAGTATAGAGCACAAATATGCTTTATTGTGCAGTAACTACTCAGACAGGTAGCAAACCTACTTGGGCAGGTAGCATCATGCAGGTAGCAGTTTTACACCCAAGTTGTCATAAGTTCCATACTTACTGTGTCGTAATGGCACACATGTGTAAACACACATCCATACTGTGCAGTAATTTTTGGTTATTGCACAGTAACCTAAATTAAATCTGCTCCCGATCAGCCAGCCACCACGTGGCGGGAGATTGCTCCCTGCCCCCAGGAAATGCCTGCTGTTAGGGTGGGCTGCACCACTGGAGCCCAGGTGGGAACTATGTCCCCCTGCCCCAGCAGCAGGGAGTTCCAAGCCCCCTGCTCTGAGATCACAATTGCGGAGCAGGGGCCAGGAGATCCTTCTCTTACAATCCCCATTTCGCCATTGTGATCCGAGAGCGAGGGACTGGGAGACCCTTATCTCCCAGCACCAGCTCTGCAGTTGTGCGGCTCGGGCTGAGAGACCCTTATCTCCTAGGGCCAGGTCTGCAACAGCTGGGCCGGTGCTGGGAGATCCTTATCTATCAGCCTGATCTCCACAGTCATAGGGCTCGGGCTGGGAGACCCTCCCAGTGTCAGCTCTGCAGCCGCAGGGCTGGCCCTGGGAGATCCATATCTCCCAGCCTGAGCTGTGCATTCATGGGGGTCAGACTAGGAGACCCTTATCTCCCAATGTCAGCTGCGTGACAGTGGGACTATCCTTGTCTCCCCAGCCTGTTCCCCGCCAAGCTCCATGCTCACGAAGTTGAGCAGGGAATGGGCTCCCCAGCCTCCACCCCATAAACTGATCCCATATCAAATGCATGTGTAGATGTACCCTGTATGTCCATGTCTAGACTTTAACCTTATCTTGACTAGCAGCTTCACCCTCAAGCATGCCACACAGCATTATTTGCACCAGCTAAGGAAGTAGACTGGAAGCAGTGAAGTTATGTCCATATCTCTCTGAAGGCAAGGCCATTAGAATTGCTGAGAGGCAAAGTCAATTTGCTCACTAGTAGCACTACACAGATGTGGCTACATTGTTTTCACTCTAGTATGTGCTGGGCTTGAGAGTGAGAATGCCAGACATGGTAAATCAGGGTATAGATACAGTCTGTATCTCTAAGTCTTCAATTTGATATTTTGAAGACATTGACTTTTCAACAGTAGTTATGTACTTTCAGGTTCCTGTGAAAGGATTACTAGTTCCCAAGGCATTAATTGACTCCATAGAATTCAAGTTGCAAAAGTAAGAAGACAGAGATGTAGGTTGTAGCCGTGTTGGTCTAAGGACATAGGCAGACAAGGTTTTTTGGGTGAATCTGATATCTTTTATTAGACCAACTAAATAGTTGAAGAACAATTTTTAAGCAAGCTTTCGGGTTCCAAAACCCTTCGTCAGGCTAGGGAAGTTTCAACAGTTGGTGTGTGCTCTTCCTGGATGGAATGAAAAGTAAAAAAGCCAGAGGCTGGGCTGGTATGCATACAAGACAGGTAGTCAGTTAAAATGTAGACTGAGGAGTCAATGGGTGAGAGACAGGCTGGGTGGGGTGGGGAGACAGGGGGGATGAATAGTGGAAAAGTACCCGGGAAGTCAGATGTCAGGCAGGTTATAATGTGTCATAAATCTAATGTCTATATTTAGTCCATGATTTTTAGTATCCAGGAGGTGGATAAAGTAGAGTTCATAGGCTCGTCTCTGGGAAGTGTTGTGTAAGTTTCCTTTGAGGATCAGGACTGAGAGATTGGAGAGAGAGTGGTTTTCTTGTGTGAAATGTGCCCCCACAGGTAACTGGGTATTCCTGTCTTTGATAGATTTCTGGTGTGCATTCATTCTGGTGCGCAGTTGTTGTTTGGTCTCACCTACATATTTTCCATCAGGGCATTTGGTGCATTGGAGGAGATATATTGCATTTCTGGAGGTGCAGCTGTAAGATCCAGGAATGCTGATGGCTCTGTTATAGGGTGTAGTGATTGTGGGGGTGGTGGAGATGTGTTGGCAGGGTTTGGATTTCTTGTCATGGGATGGCCTGTATCCATTTGGTGTGTTCTGGGCCTGAGGAAGTTTGCTTCTGGTGATGAGGTTGACGAGGTTCGGTGCTTGTTTGAAAGCTAGGATGGGTGGCTCTGGGAAGATCTCTTTAAGAATAGGGTCTCTTTCTAGTATGCAATTGTTTGATGATTTTCCATACAGGTTCAAGGGAGGGGTGATATGTCATAACCAGCGGTGTACGATTTTGGGGGGGGGGGTTCTTCTGTACTGCAACAATTCTTCATGTGGTATCTGGGTGGCTTTTCAAACGTGCAATCTATCTCTCTATAAGATCTATCTATCTATCTATCTATAAGATAGATAGATTTTATAGATAGATATATCTATAAGAGAAAGGAGAGCAATTTATAGAGAGGACCAAGGGAAAGACTACTACATACCAACTCCAGGACTGCCTCCATCCATGCAGAATAAATACAGAGCTACTGTCCATCCCAAATCCACTGGCCTGATCTGCCCTGAGAAGTCATTATTTGTAATGGCAATTGTTCTGCATGCCCTAGGGCTTTATTCAAAGGACAATTAGCCCAGGATGGACTGAGTAAAAATGAAGAACTAGTTCTGAAACCCACACACTCATTAAGCAGTAACAAGAGTAATTCCACTGATCTGAATGGACTTCTCAAAGCATAAAGGTGCTACACAGAATGAGTAAAGACATCAAGTTCTGACCTTAAAGAACATCAGGTTGTAGCATGTCTGATGCATGCATTCCTTAAGAATCATTAGAGCCTACCATATACTAAGCTAGTGATTTATTTATTTTTGGTATATAGAGAAATCACTGCCAGAGCATACTTTAACTGGGAATTCATTGATATATTAAACCAGAAAGAAAGCAATGGCTTTAAACTGTAGTTAAGTTGATTTAGATAACTATGAGGAAAAAACATCCTTACTGTCAGAACATGAAGGAGTTGCCCACTGTAAGTTTATAAAAAAGAGGCTGGATAGGCATTTGCCTTGGATAGTATAGGAACAGCACATCCTGCTTTTGTGCAGGTTACTGGACTAGATGATCTTTGATGTCCCTTCTAACTCAATGAATCTATGACAATATTTTATGATAACTTCTAAACATAATTTTATTTATACATACACACACTTATTTATGAACACATAAACGTGTGTATATAAATATATATATACATAATGTGTGTGTGTGTATTCTAACTCATGTGCTAGAAGGTCTTATAATATAAAACCCTTATAACTTTCATGTGAAGTACTGACTATTTCTAGTGACAAATTTCTAACTGAAGGACTGTCTCTTCTCATTGGAGAAACTGTTATTTTAAATGCATTTGGTAACTGCACTCAGAATTTCACTTAAATGGTCAGCAGATATAGCCAAATAAAGACTTAGAAAATAGTGCTGATATTTATATAGCCCTTATTTGTCATTTGCACTCATACTACTTAAATTTATATTTTGAAACTCCTTAAGTGTTCAGTGCCCCTTAGCATTTTCAGCACTGTTTCAGACAGTGGCAACACTTTACAAATGATTTATAAATCCTCCTGGAAAATGCAATGAAACTGACAAAATCATAATTATAGCAGTGGTTTAGACTTTAATTATTATTATAATTCATTAATTTGTTTTGTAGTAAAATCTAGAGGTCCCAATCAGTGATCAAAAACTTTATCCTGGGCATTTCATGCACATGTAACAAAAAATAGCCCCTGTATCAGACTAATAATCAAATAACATCCGCATGGCTTTTGTCATTCCCTGAAGCATTTCCTTCATTGTCAATCTAAAATCTTTTTCACCATGGAAACTTAGCTAAACAAACTGATAAACTGACACCAGTGCTGTATGATGACAAGATCATTTAAGCTGAAATTATTTATTTAAGATGGTATTGTGTGGAGATAACACCTTCTTTATGGAACATTTTGCCATCATTGCTAATGGATATCCTGATTTTTATTTTCCAGTAGCATTAGCAATTATAGTATTAATCAGAAGTTAGATATTTTAAGAGTATTTTCAGTTCTTAGGCAGCTTTGCTAAACACACTCAGTGGGACAATTAAGATATTGATTCCTGAATTTCTTGTCAGACGGTTCAGCCAGCATATGCTGCATCTGTTCAGTGTCTGTTTCAAATATTACTATTATTACTATTACGATTATTATTATTATTTACGGATATGGGTGTTTAAATAAACAATTGCCTAGGCCTAACAAAAGGATTCTCTGCCTTTAGATTTAAATAAAATGGAGTTGAAACTAAACACTATCACACCCTATTTCCATAAAAAGGAAGTATACAGGTGAGTCATAGAACCCATTCAGTGTCTTACTGGTTTATGTCTACACATACAGTTCTATTTATAGGACTAAAGTCTCTTTTAAGCTCATTGTCTGGAGTAGAAGGAAAGTGGCAGGAGTTGTAGGCATCTTCAGTGTGATAGGAATAGAAGTTGCATGTAAGTTAGCTTCAGCAAAGGATCAGTCTCAAAACTGACCAGGCAAAATACATATTTTGATAAGACAACTGAAAATTTAGAAAATGTTCATAAATATATTAACATCCATTAACTGTATGTGGTAAAAATAATACAGCAATGGTGAATTTATATAAATGATATTTGACTGACTTCCTAAGACATGCTTATAATTTTCTTCCTCTTGCTACTAACACTGTTTTTATTCCTCTCTGGAAAATGTTCTGGGGC